GGGAACCGAACCCCAAACCCTTGGGTTTGCAGGCCGGCGCCCAGTCCACTGAGCCCCACCAGCCGGGGCGAGTGTGTGTCTTGTCACACCACAGTCCCTCTGTGACGAGGGTGGATTCTGGGCCCACAGTGAGACACAGGAGGGCCAAGGCCTTGCCCCAAGGGGGTCAGGCATGGGGGGCCGAGGGGTGGAGGTCCCGGCCCCCACGGAACGGGGCTGTCCGGGGAAGGGCGCGCTGCGGGGCACATCGTACGCCATGCGCGTGTACGTGTGTGTGTACGCATCTGCATCCACACATGCACATGCGTGCACTTTTTCATTAACATGAGCTCGTACCACTGGTACTCAGACACGTCCCCACGCAGCTGCATCAGGCCTCCTGCAGGCCGGCTTCCGGCAGCTCTGACAAGTCTCGCCCAGAGTTGCGTCCCAGATAAGCAGCTGCTGAGGACAGCAGGTCAGGCAGGCCTGGCCGCTCGTGCCAACGGCCGGTGTTTCGCAACGACCTCCCAGGCTGCTGCCGGCGGCGAAGGGCCGCGGACCGGGCGCCACCCCGTACTCCGGCGGCTCCCAGGTTAAGAAGCGAGGGCACAGCGGCGCCCGGAGCTGAGCCGGCTGCAGCACTCGGTAACCGCGACAGGGGAGGGGCGGCGGGGCCGGGGGCAGACTTGAAATGTGGCGAATGCTTGTGTGTTGTGGGAGCAAAGGCACAGAATTATCTTTGGAATTTGACCAATGTCATTTCACATCCCAGCGGCTTCGCTGGGCACCAAACAGTAGACTGGAAACGGCCTGGGAAACGCCGATGCCGCGTCTGCCCCGTCGGGGCGTCCTGGCCAGGCTGCCCTCAACTGCTCGGCAGTGTCCCCAGCGGCCGGCACCCCGCGGGCCCGGTGCCACTGCGGGCTCCCACCTGCGGCCTCCCCGCAGCAGCCCGAGCTGCACGCTGCGCCTTCCCGGGCAGGGACTTGCCAAGAGAGCCTCGCAGGTCGGCACCCCTGCAGCTGGGCGGCCGCCGGGGCGGCTGGGTGCCACCCCTGCCCCTGCAGAGACGCGGGGCTGTGAGCCACAGGGGGTCGCCCTCCGCACCCTTTCCGTCCTGGCACCTGCTTTGTTGCGGGGGCAGTGAGCCCCCCACCTGCGTGGGCGCACCTGCTCCCTTCGGCCACTTGTTCACTGCGCCCGGAGCGTGGGCTCCAGCCCAGACGAGCACCCAGGCAGGCGGCACCCGCCCGCACCTGCGGGACGGCTACGGAAGCCGGTTCCACGTGGGAGGCGCGGGAGGCTCACAGGAAAGGCGGAAGGGGCTGCGTCTGGAGGACAAAGGGGTGGGGTGTGCACGCGTGCCGGCCTGGGCACACCCGTGTGCGAGTGCGTCCTCAGCCGGGACCTCCGCCATCCCTCGGAGTGGGAGTGGGGAGTGAAGATTCCCCTCCCCGGCTCATTCCACGTGGCCAGGTGTCAGGGTGCGGGCACGTGAGCGACGTCAGCTGCCGCGGGCCGGGGTCCTGCAGGACCCCGTGGGAGACGTGGGCTGCAGGCTCAGGCCGCCCAGACAGAAACAAGCACGGAGGACCAGGGGGCAGGGGGGCCCCGGCTCCCTCGAGGCGGGGAGGGCACGCGGCTCGCGAGGCTGCAGGCGCAAGTGCCGGGCCCTGCTGCTGCGAGCGGGCCCTACGGAGGGTCCCTGCGTCCCCGGCGCGGGTTCTGCCTCGGCCCCCCGGCTCTGTGCTGTGGGGCGGCGGAGGGAGGACGGGGCCCAGAGGACACCCCACGGGCCAGCAGGGGGCCAGCAGAGGGCGGGCCGCTCCTCGGTGGCGGCCGCCATGGAATGCCTGCTGAGAGAAACGCCTTCCGCGGGCAGCGTGCGCACAGGCGCGCGCTCTGGAGAGGCGCCTGGCGCACTCGCCTCCGTGGGGCGGATTCTCAGCTCAGGCAGGATTCGCGCCGTTCCCTCTGCGCGTTTTTATCCTGACGTAGGTGGAAGTATAGCCAATGAGCAGCACACGTTCGAATCTATTTGGTGATATTAATTTGCTTACGTAAGCGCTTTCTTTTAAAAGAGAAAACCCTTGATTACGCTCCCTTTAAATTAGAGCAGGTTTTCTCTTCTTAGCAAAAGGTCGGCTGATTTAAAATGTGATCCTGCGTCGCTCTAATCCGCCGGCTTCGGTGAGTGGTGTGGCAGCGAGACCGGGACGAAACAGCGACCCCTAGTGCCCCGCACGGTCGCTGTCCCAGGGCGCTCTCCGCAGGGCTCTCTCTGCTACGTGCCACTGCGTCTTTCTCTTGTACATCCAACAATGATCACAAGAATTCAGGTAGTTCTACAAAATTATTCTTTCCCCTCAACGTGATATAGTATTGATGTCAATTTTAAGGCATGAAATGACTGTCGGTATCTCTTGAGTCATTGTTACCTTCCTCTGCTCAGCAGTTTGAGGTTTGCCCTTTGCTGATAAGGCTGAAACTAGTGGAAAAGTTATATACATAATATGAGGTCTACGTATAATATAATAGGAGGATAAAGTCCAACCACTGTTAATTTAACGAGAATGGTTTACACAACATCGATGAACCCTGGCAGCCAAGGAGACTGGACTGGAAGGCACGCGCGTGAACCATGACGGCTTCACTGTGCTCGTCAGTGGGGGCAGCAGACGCCATCGAGTGAGCACGTGTACTGTGTGGCCGTCACATTCATAATGTGACTGAGCGAGGAGAGCAACGGATCTGCTTCAAATTTTGCATTAAGCTTGAACATTCCTCATGGAAACCATTCGGATGATTCCGAAGGCTTTTGGGGACGATGCAGTGAGCGCAGTGCAAGTAAAAACGCGGCGCAAACGCTTCAAAGGTGGTCGAGAACCTGTGGAAAGTGACCCAGGCTCTGGAAGGCCCTCCACAAGCACAGCACCTGAGAATGTTGAACGTGCCCGGGCCGCCGTCAGCAAAGATCAGAGACTGACAGAGCGAGAACTAGGAGCTGATCTCGGGATTCGAAGAACTTCTGGTTTTTCCCAAAACTAAAATCACCTTTGAAAGGGAAGAGATTTCAGACCATCGATGAGACTCAGGAAAACACAACGGGGCAGCTGATGGCAATTGGGAGACCTATGTGAGGTGCCAATGTCCCTACTTTGAAGGGGACTGAGGCGTCATTGTCCTATGGACAATGCTTCTTGTACCTTCTTTAATAAATGTCTCTGTTTTTCATAGCACACGGCTGATGCCCTCTGGGCAGACCTGTGTGTGTGTGTGTGTGTGTGTGTGTGTGTGTCTCTGTGCGTGCTCATCCCTCGGCTCTCGTTGGCTTCAGGATGCATCAACTCCTGCGCTCATTGCATTTTGACGGGAAAAACCGTCTCAGCCCTGGGCGCTTGCTCGGGACTCACCGCTGTTGCTCGAACTTGTACGAGTCACGAGGCTGCCCCGCAAGAGAAAACTCTTCACCACTCATCACTTGCTCGTACTTCTCAGTCTTGGCACCAGGGGTGAGTTCCAGACCAATTAACGACGGGTTCTGAGGCACCGCTGTGTGTGTGTGTGTGTGTGTGTGTGTAAAAAACAATTCTACTCAGACGTAAAAAAGAATGCAATCTCGCCATTCGCAAGAGAAAGACAAATACCATATGATCTCACGTGTATGTGGGATCTAAAGAACAACATAAATGACCAAACAAAATTGAAACGGACTCATTGATACTGAGAACATACTGAAGGCTGCCAAAAGGGAGAGAGGGAGGTGGGAAATTTTTTTAAAAAACCTTTAAAATAAATAAAATAGAAGCCCCTGCTGAGATAGATAAAGGGGTAGAGCCGGGCAGGAGAGCAAGAGAGCGGCCACGATCAAAGGAATCATTCCCACGACCCCGTCCTGACCAGAGGAAGGACAGCGAGGGGCAGGGACAGCGGGGACCCTCGGAGGCAGGCAGGCCTGCAGGCGCTCGCGCAGCGTGGAGCCCGGCAGGAGACCCCGCTGACTGTGGACAGCCGTTCACGGGGGGGCAGGGTTCCCCGCTCCCTGTCCCTGTCCCATTGGGTGACCCCAACTGTGGAAAAATGCCTGGCTTCACAGAGCTTTGGAAATGCTCTTCAAACATCAGGTTCTACTAACAATGGTGGGAAACAAATTGTTCCTCTTGCGTCTTAGCTATGCTGTGAGATGCGGATCAAGTTGTTCAAACTCTGAGCTGGCGTCGTCCAATAGAGCAGCCACTGGCCACATGTAGCTACTTAAATAGAAACAATAGTTAATGACAATTCAGTGCCATTATGAATCCAGTTCCACAGTCGCCCCGGCCACGCTTCCAGGGCTCGTGGCCGCCTGCGGACCGTGCGGGATGCTCCCTCGGACGGCCGCGCCCAGGCCCGACCTGCAGCGCCCCCGAGCCCCTCCGAGGTCAGCGCCCTGCCTGCGTGGAAGGCGCTTGGCCAGCCGTGCGGCGCCGCGGTCCCACGAGGGCGTCCTTCTGTTACTGCAGGACGGCGCAGTCACACAGGCCGGCCCTGGTTCTTACACGCATGCCGACTCTTTCAGAAGCTGAACTGCATGTCCTCAAGCCAATGAGTACACTGTGTTGTTAAGACCAAAGTTCGTGTCAGGTTCCGCACCCCTGACAATTTCTCTTGATGAGGAAGGTACTGTGATGTGTGCATCGTGGTGCGTGTCTGCAACTTCATGTGATGCGTAGTTCCATCCTGTAACATGAAATTGCCGCTTTATTGCAGGGACTCTGTCTGGCAGAAGTAAACAGGGAGCGTACAAGGACACGCACGCCGGGAAGGCCTGATCTTTTGCCCTGTTGGAAAGTGGCTGCTGCGGGTTGCAACAAAGTTAAATGCGTGACGCGGAGGTGCTCTGTGGCAACCTCAGTGACTGACCCTCTCACCCACAGGGCAGAGCGCGACGGCTCGGCACAGCGACCCCGGCGCCCGGCTGCGTCCGCGGGGGGCCCCGCGTCTCCGTGGCCGTGAGGGGGGACCCGGCCGCCGGCACGATGGACAGGAGCCTGAGGAATGTGCTCGTGGTCTCACTGGGGTTTCTGCTTCTCTTCACGGCCTACGGGGGGCTGCAGAACCTGCAGGTAGGGTCCGCGCGCCCTGTTGACCCCCAAGGACCCCTGGTCACAGGCCAGGGGACCGCGGGTGTGCTTGCTGGGCAACTCAGCCCAGCCCCTGGAAGAGCAGCCGCCCCCGTGTCGCCGTGGGGTCCCACGGGGCGGCCTCTCCCCGCCCAGCGGGCTTGCACAAGGAGGGCGTGGGTCTGACCCTTGGACCGGAGGGCGGGTCCGTCTCCAGGGCTAGGGGAGGCGCCCGGGCCTCCGGCCTCCGTGGTTTAGAGGAGACACAGGCAGGATCGTGCGTTCTCTGGCTCTGTGACCAGGGCAGGGCCGGGGACGGGTCAGGCTGCGCGGGGCCGCATAGAGTGTGGGGCTGCTCCACGCACAGCCGTGGACGTGGACGAACCCGTGTCTGCCTGGCCCCGTGGCCTTCCCCCGCCTCGGGCCTCTCCGAAGGGCCGTGGGCACGTGTGCCCGCGGTGGATTGGCCACCCGTTCCCCAGGCAGCCGCCTTGAAGTCTGATCTTTACCTGAGAATTGAACGTGCGGGGCCCCAGGGTGGGGCGGGAAGGGGCCGCGCCTGAGCCCCCGGGACCTTGTTCACCCACAGCTGTGCCTGTGGCCTGCGAGCCACCTGCTGAGGTTTCTGCGGTCGTGCGTGGGGTCTCACATGGCTGTCGGTGGGGGGCATGGGGCAGCCCCCCTCGCCCGGGTGCGCCGGCGTGACCCAGAGAAGCGCAGCAGGCCGGGACCGGCGGTGCGCGGGGCAGAGGCTGGGGTTTCTGTCCTCGGCACCGGGCGACAAGCCCTCGGGCCTGAGGGCTCCGCCTCGAGCTCTCGTGGGCTTGTTTTCCCCGCGAAGCCCCGCTCGGTCCTGTTTCCAGTGGGGCTCGGGGAGGACGGCAGTGCGGCGGGTGGGGCGCCCCAGGACCAGGCCCCGCTGTGAGACGTTGGGTGCACGACACTCCCTTCCGCTGCGCGAAAGGGCTCGCGCTCAGAGGAGAGGCGCTTCCGAAGGGCTCGGCGAGGCTGCGGACCCCACGGAGGCCCCCACCGGGAAGCCCTGCGGGAGGCAGCTCCCTGGGGCGCGGGCCTCCCCCCACGGGGTCGGAACCCTCAGATGCTCAGCAGAGAGACGGCAAGGGGACCCCCGCGCGTGGACACTGGGGGGGGGCGGACGAAGGAAAGGGGGCCGCAGAGGCCCAGGGCCCCGGCTCAGGGGGCGCCTCACTCGGGACGGAGCGGCCGTGGCCCGGGGACAGCGGAGCGGCCGCGAGGGTGGCGGCAGGCTCGGGGGGGGGGGCCCGCTCTCCTGGGCATGGTCCCTTCTGCCTCGGAGACAGGAGGTGTTAGAGGACCTCTGGCTGTGGCCTGGAGCCGGCCCCCCTGCGCCCCCCACCCTCCATCCAAGCCCAGACCCGCCTCTCCCCGGCCCCCGGCCCCCGGCCCCCGGCCCCCGGCCCTGGCTAGAGACGCGTCCGACGGGGGCGACCGCCTCCGTCTGTCGGGACTGGCTAAAGCATAATAACATGACGACGTGGACAGAGGTGACCGCACCGGCCACCGAGGACGCTCCCGCCTGTAACTCCCTCTCATCGGCTTCGTCCTCGGGCCCCAAAGGGGAGGCAAAGGCGGCAGCAAGAGCCGCGGGGCGCCAGCCCTGGTCGAGAGCCCGCCAGCCCGGCGCGCCCCCCACGCTTCCCTCCGCAGCAGCCACTACGGCCGGCCTCCTGTCCGGCACTCAGCTCTCAGCAGGGACGCCCCTGCCCCCTCCCTGTGCCCGGGACGCAAGCCTGGCCGAGGGTCACCTCCTGCTCCGCTCCCTCGCCAGGCCCTCCGTGCACCCAACGGTCCGGTCCGGTTCCCCAGCGGGGGCCGGGCTCCGCAGGGTGTGGTCGGGCGGCTGTCCGGCCTCACACGTCCGCAGCCCGGTGTCCCTTGTTCTGTCACCTCAGGACAGGGCCTGGGCACACGCGTCCCCACGGTTCCCCTCGTGAGCACCTCCCCCGCTTTCCCAGATCCGCTCCTCGTCCCCCTGCCCCCCAAAGCTCACAGGGCCTTCACTCCTTCTAGAAAAGTCTTCCCGGTGCCACGGGCTGACCTGAGTGCCCTCCTGGGCTGCTTGCTGGGGTTACAGACACCTGGCAGCTCTGTCCCTGTCGGGGGCCACAGCCCTGCCCCTGGCCCTGGACTCCTGCCCCCTCCCCCTCCTCTCCTCTCACAGGTGAGATAAGGGGAAAGGGTCTCATTCTCCTTCCCTATTTGGCCTCTGGTCACTTCTTCCCAGGCTGCACTAGGCTTTCAAAGGACAGATGACAGAAGGCGGAGCATGCGCGCGTGGTCACACAGTGTGACACGGAGCTTCGCGTGCAGGCCCGCGCACACTGTGCCCCCGGCAGCCCACGCTGTCCTCGGGTGGTGGTGGGGCCCCGAGGCCCGGCCCGCCCACCCGCCCGCCGCTGAGCAGGGCCCTCCGCCCCACAGAGCAGCCTGTACAGCGAGCAGGGCCTGGGGGTGGCCGTGCTGAGCACGCTCTACGGCGCTGTGCTGCTGTCCTCCATGCTGCTGCCGCCGCTGCTCATCAGGACGCTGGGCTGCAAGTGGACCATCGTCGCCGCCATGAGCTGCTACGTGACCTTCTCCCTGGGCAACTTCTACGCCAGCTGGTAGGCCCCGCGAGGCGCCCGGCGCGGCCCCTCCCCGCCTCCCGGTGCCCAGGCCGGCCTTCCCTCAGGCCTGGGTGGCCGCCCTCTCGGTGACCGAGGACCTTTACGGCCCCGGGGACAGCGGCCCCAGGGTGGGTTCCGGGAGGCTTAGCCAGGGGGACCCACGGAGCCAACACTGAGCCCGGCCCTTAGCATTGATGGTGGGCGGGCCCAGCCTGAACTCCACCTGCTCCCCGGAGGCAGGGCCACGCGCCCTGCCCCCAGGCACACCCCTGAGCCTTTCTCTGCGAGACACCCGCTCGTCACCCGGGGACACGCCAATTGTGGTGGCCCCACAGCCTCCCTTTCCTGGTTCCCATGGGGCGTCCGTGCAGAAGCTGCGCGGAGGAGGGCAGGACCCGCCGGCCGGCCCCCGCCCACAGCCGTTAGGAGCGAAGCCCCGAGGGCCGCCCAGGCCCACCCCCTCCCGCCTGGGGTCCCAGCGCACGGCCGTCACCTCCAGGCGCAGAGGCCACCGGCTCTGCCTGCCACCCTTGCCAACAAGCCCGAACCAGAGGAGTCCCAAGCCTGGGCTCCCTTCCCGGGGCCAATGGTGGCTGGGGCAAGGGGCACCCACCGATCTACCTGGTCCATAAGCCTAAAGAGGCTTCCGTGGGCCCGGGCCAGGTTTCCTCCTCCCCCAGGGCGGGGAGAGCGGGGTCAGCGGCCCCTCCGTTCCTGCCCGCCCGCAGGTACACCTTGGTGCCCACCTCCATCCTGCTGGGCCTGGGGGCGGCGCCGCTGTGGTCGGCCCACTGCACCTACCTCACGGTGGCCGGGAACGCGCAGGCGGAGAAGGCAGGGAGAGTGGCCAAGGACGTGGTGAACCGGTACTTCGGCATGTTCTTCCTCATATTCCAGTCGTCTGGGGTGTGGGGCAACCTGATCTCGTCTCTGGTGTTTGGCCAGACGCCCACTCAAGGTAAAAGGGAGCAGGCTCGTGGGTGGCCCCGGGGGCCCCCATCCTGGGTGCGCACGCCGCTGCTCTGCCACCAGAGCCGGTGACCCTGCGAGGCCCTGAAGACGTGGTTCTCAGCCTGCCTGAGCCTCGCCGTCCTCTGGGTCCCCGCTGTGCCCCGGGACGCTGCGGGTGGGCAGGGTCCCCACGGGTCCGGACGCTCCCCTCCCCGGGAGGCGAGGCCGCCGCCCGCGGAGCTGGGTCTGTGGAGCCAGCGCTGTCCTCTCAGGTTGCGTGAGAACGGGCGCGAATGGTTCATTTGCCCCCTGACCTGACCTGCTGAGCAGTGTTTTCTGTTTTGCTTGGTTGTTTTCCTTTTGTTAATGGGATTTTAATATTGCACAGAAGCGGGTGTCAAAGGGAACGCGGATGCGTTGCAAGCTTCCTTCTGTCCTCACCCGGGGGCAGGTCTCTTGGTTTTAGAGACCAGGGAAGGGAGGGAGGGAGAGAGGAGAATCACCAACGTGAGGGAGAAACACGGATCAGTTGTCTCTCGTACATGCCCCAACCGGGGACCAAGCTCGCAGCCCAGACCGGTGCCCCGCCCGGGAATCAAACCCTCCACCTTTCGGTTTCCTGGACGGTGCCCAGCCCACCGAGCCACACCGACCGGGGCCACCGAGCAGTGTTTTAAATGCCACACCCACGACCATTCGTGCTTAACCAGCCTGAACATCGGATGGCGGACGTGCTAGCGCGCTGGCCCCGGCATGGCCGTGAAGGGCACACCTGTGCTGCGCCCGCACCCCCTGACGCCGGAGGGGGAGAACCGGGGGCGGGGAACGTAGGTCTCATCGATTCTTGTAGGAAGCCTTTAATAACGGGGCGTCACGGCCCCCCCGGCTGTCACAGGGCGATTCCGGGCTCTTGCTCCGGGTCCTCTCGCAGAAAGTCCTGCCTCTGGGAAACTCTGCCTTCAAAACCCGTCTCCCCGTTTTCTCATGCGATGTGATAGGTCACATTTTATTCTTTCCACGGATAAGGAAACGGCCATTCGGAAAAGATAAGAAATGACCTGCCCAAGGCCACGGAGCTGCTACCGTGTCTAAACGAGAACCCAGCCAGGCTGGCATCGGCTCTCATCTGCGCTCTTATATCCTGATTCATTTAGAAAGTTGTGTTTTTTTTACTTAAGTCAGGAAAGTAATTTGACAGGCACCAAACGTTTATGACACAGCTGCTCGGACTGTCCAAAAATGGAGTGTACAGACACGCTCCCCGGGGCGTGTGCGGAGATGCTCAGTCAAACCCGCCCGGCGCCGTGAGCCGGGACCTCGGGCACCCGCGACGCCCGGCTTGGGGTGTGTCCACACTCCTCTTCCCGAGCCCCATGACGTCGCCGGTGTCCTCACGCCGCCTGCCCCTCCCCGCAGACCCCATCCCTGAGGAGCAGCTCCTGTCCTGCGGGGCCAGAGACTGCCTGATGGCCACGGCGCCCGCCAACGGCACCCAGCGCCCCTCCCAGGAGCTCATCTACACCCTGCTGGGCGTCTACACAGGTGCGTGCTCTGCGGCCCCGGGCGCGGTCCCGCGGGGGGCGACCCTGGGATCGGCCACTGGCCAGGGCTCGCAGCTTCGGGGGTGCTGGGGGGGAGCCCCCTGCTGGGCGCGGGCCGACCCGTAGCAGGTGCACCTTTGAATTTTAATTAGCCAAATTGAAAAGACTATTTCAAAGTCACAACGGCCACCTGCCGGCGCCCCGCGGCCTCTCTGGGCCACGGCCGCCACGTCGGGCAGCGCCTGGCGCACCGGGCTTTGCAGGGGGGCTGCTCGCGTTTCGGCCACGGCCGGAGTCCGGTGAGGCGCAGGCCCCGCAGAGGGCCGTCTCCCCTGCGGCCGCCCCCGGGGCCCCCGCGGAAGGGCCGGGTGGGCCCCCCTGGCCCGCTCGGCCCGCCCTGACCAGCCCCAAACCCCTTGGAGAAGACGGCGCCCCCGAGCGGGCGACTGTCACAGCGAGTCCGGTCCTCAGGAGCCCGTCTCAAAGGAAAACATCTGGGCTGGCGGTTTTCTAAACGACTTCGCTCCCGCGGTGGTAGGGTTATCGCCACTGGAAAGTTTTTGTTTGTTTCCGGTCACCATTTTGGAGGGAACTGAAATCTATTTTTTGGTCACGCTTGAATTTGAAATTCACGAAGACTGTGGGCGGCTCTTAACACCCCAGGGCCTAGCGCGCGTGGATCCGTGGGGCCGCCCCAGGATCCCCGGGGCGGCGCCGAAGGGCGGGGGCGGGTCACGGGGTCTCCAGGCGTGAGGCCCAATCGGCTGCCGGCCGCCCCCACGCAGCTCCCTTCACGTCGCTTCCGGGCCGGGGGCTCCGAGTGAGCCCTCGTGCGGCGGCCACTGGGGGAGATGAAGCCCAGTGAGCACCAGGGGGCGCTAACCGCGCTCTCCTCCGGAACCCAGCCGGGCTCCGCTATGGCGAGAGTTTTGAACAAAGTTCCCCATCGACGTGTGGCTGCGCCTCTGTGGGGAACGGGGCTCGGGGGCTGCGTTGGCTGGGAGGCGGATCCGCAGGGGGGCTCGGAGGGCGAGCGGAGGAGGGGAGCTGGGAGGGCGCAGGGGGTCGAGCGGCCGACCAGGGGCCTGGCAGGAGGCGGCGAGTGGGCGGGGCCCGTGCCCGAGGGGGCGACGAGCTAGGGCCCTCGGGCAGGGCCTCGGGGCTGTGCGGGGGTCTGGCCGTGGCAGACTCAGACGGGGGTCAGTGTTAGCCTCACGCGGGGGGCGGGGGGGGGCAGTGCGGGAGGACAGCAGGCCACGGGGGGGGGGCGGGGTGACAAACAAGGGCCGTGGCAGAGCCGGCCAGAGCGGAGGTGCGGAGAGTCTGTAGAGCAAAGACCGGCAGGGCTGAGCCACGGACGGGGCAGGGGACGTGGGGGAGGACGGGCCTGCGGAGAAGGAGGACTTTGTTCAGCGTGGGAGATGCCGGCGGAAGGGGATGCGAGCGCTCGGTGCCGAGGAGACAGGTGCGGGGCTCGGGCCAGGGGCCGGTTAGGGGGCGGCTGGAGCCTCAGCCGACAGAGTGAGGTCCTGGGGGCCACGATGAAAGGCGGTGGGGAGACGTGGGGGCGCCCGCGGGGGCCGGTGCTTTGACAAAGGTGGACCGAAACCAGAGGGGCCAGCGGACCCCGAAGTGGCCGCCGCCGCAGGGACAGGGCCCGGGGACTGAGATGCAGGCAGGGGCGGGGAAGGCTCCTGGAGGCTCGGGGATGCGGGGCCCGAGAGGCTGTGGCGCCCGCTTGACAGCGGTTTGCGGGGGGACGGGGGAAGGGGGCCCCCCGGGCGGGGCCGTGCTGAGCCCCGCACCCCGGATCACACCCCGCCCCGCCGTCTCTAAGGCTCCTGCTGTTCGCGGCCGTCCCTGGGGCCCCGGGGCCCCGGGGCCCGTCCGCCACGGGGCGGTCGGCCAGGCCTTCGTGACCTGTGTCCCTCACTGTCGCCTTGACAGTGGAGAGGCTGGGGCCTCGTGGGAGCTTCTGGATGGAGCTGAGGTTCCCGGGTCCCTGTCCGGGCCCCCCCGACCCCGGTCACGCTGGCCCAGGCACGGACCCTGCCCTCCAGGAGAGGCCGGCTCTGGGCCGGGTGGGAGCCTCTCTGTAGAGGGCGACGCGGCGCCTGTTTCAGGCATGAGGACCCCAGGCCTCCGCCTCGGCTCTGCCGCAAGGCCTTCCCCGGAGACGGCGACCCGGCCCGCGGGGGCCCGGAGGCCGCGCTGCCCCAGTGAGGCCGACGCGCCGGAGCCCCGGGCAGGGCCGGTCCCGGGCTGCAGCTTGCTGGCCCCGCGCGCCCTCAGGAGCGGCTCAGGCCGTGGGCGCGGGCGCCGTCTGCATCCCCGGCTCCCGGCTTGCGTGCCAGTCTCTCCCCGCGTGTCCCCGGCTCCCTGCATGGGCCACTGGCACGGACGCCCTCCAGGCCCCTCGGCCCCTCTGGCAGCAGCCAGGCCTGAGTCACGGGTCACACCCTGTTCCTGGTTCTGAGAAGCTGCCCCCCAGGGACCTGAAGTCCGAAGGTCATGTGAGGCGGAGACGTGTGCGTGGTGCGGGGAGAAAGTGCCGCCTGCTATTTGTTCCTGGCTTTCTGGCAGGGCCTTGTTAGTCTCTTTCCTTGGAGCGAGGCCACGTTGCCGTCAAGATGGAAGAAAGGGGGAGAGCAGATGGAAGGGCCGGGACCGCTGCCCCCCAACGGTTTCCAGGCTGCTGAGCGCGCCCCTCCCCCACCCCGAGCTCCCTCAGGGCGCAGGCCGCTGCTTGTGCAACAGCGGCAGTTTCCCAATTCTCGCCCCTCGAGCTGGTTCTGGGTCCCGGGGCAGCTCGGGGCACACACGTCCCCTAGTGCGCCCGCGGCTCCGTGGCCCGCCTCTCGGTGCCTGTGTGGTGCTGGCCGGTGCGGGCGGCTGCCTCCTGGGCGGGCACTCAGACCCCACCGGGGAGACCGCGGGGAAGGAACCATGGCCATGTGGTGGACCGTGGACACGCCCATCCCACGTGGCCCCACACACTAGGTGACGAGGCCGGTCCGGGAGCCTGTGTCACCGTTGACAGGTCTGGACCCTCCGTGCCCAGGCGTGGGGACCCACTGCCGGACAGCCCGGTGGGCAGGGCTCTGGGGGCTGCCACGCGGCATTTCATAGGCTGTTACACTGTCGAGTGTACCATGGGGTGGGGCAGAGGGGCGATGTGTCCGGAAATAAAGCGGAGAAGTAGATGGACGCCCCTCCGGGCAGGCCTATACTGGCCACGGGCTCCCGCGGTGAGCGTGAGGGCGGGCCCGCCGTCTCTGCAGACAGCTCGGCCGCGGCCGGCTGTCCGTCGGTGGCCCAGAGGCACGGCCACCCCTGTGGGCGCTGCAGGGGGTGCCTGTCGGCTCCAAGGGATGGAAGAAAGTGATAGGGTTGGCGAGAGGACAGAGCGGCGTGAAGTGACCCAGATCATCTCCAGAAGACGCCTGTCCCCGTGTTCTGGGTTGGAGGGAGTTCTGGCTGGAGTCAGGAGGGCGGACGGCTGGCGCTGCGCTTGAGTTCACCCGCGGGCCCCCACGCGTGCTGCCAGGCTGAGGGGCACGGAGCCCAGAGGCGGCCACGCCGTCCTCCGTGCTCGGGCCGACTCGGTGCACGTGTCCGGCCTCACGGCTCAGGTCGCGCCGCGCTCCTTGCAAACCAGCGCAGCAGCCGGGACTGGCCCTGCCCTTGGCTTCGCTCCCAGCCCTTCCTCTCGGGGACGCTCCCGTCTTTGCTCACGCGGAACTTTCTGTCCCCAGACGCACGACGTCCCTTTGCAGGGGACGCACCACAGTAGTGCGCACAGTCTTCCGGATCGGGGTGCAGTGAGCACGCAGCGCAGGGTGACCAGGGGGCTCACGGGCCCGAGGGGGAGACCGGCTGCTGGCCGGTGGGCTGAGGACCCGGCCAGGACCCCGTGGGCGGGGAGGGCGCGCGGCGTCCGGGGTCTCTCCCCAGGCTCCCCACTTCATGCCACGGGAGACAACGCCGGCCTGCAATGGCAGCGCCTGGACACTAGGCGGTCAGAGCTGACGCGTGCACGGCCGCTGGGTGCGGGACCCAGGGCGGCGGTGACGACTGAGTCGGCCGGGCGCGGCCTGCGGGCTCGCGGGCAGCCGGGGTTTGAGGTTGACCGTCGCCTCCCGGGAAGGAGGTGGGGCCCGCGGAGCCCGTGCCCGGCGGCGCCGGTCCCCCAACAGCAGCCGCTGCCCCGTGCGGCCCTTCCAGGGAGCGGGGTCCTGGCGGTGCTGCTGGTCGCGCTCCTCCTGGACCCCGTAGCGGCAGACGTGCAGCGGAAGAGCGGAGGCGAGACGCTGTCCGTCTGGTCCACCCTGCTGTCGACTTTCAAGCTCCTCCGGGACAGACGCCTGCGCCTCCTGGTCCTGCTGCCGATGTACAGCGGGTTCGAGCAGGCCTTCCTGGCGGGAGACTACACCAGGGTAGGGCCGGCCGGCGGCCGCACGAGGGGAGGGGCTTGGACGCTTATTTAACTGGGTGACCCCCGCCCCCCGTGGGGGCCCCTTCCTCCTTAGAGGGCCCGTGGGTGAAGCACAGCCCTGTCCCCACGCCACGCCCCGCCCCCGCCCCCCACCAGAGGGCGCGTTCACTCCGACTCTGCCCCTGCACCCGGGCGGCCTGATCGCCCCGTGTCCTCAGAGGGCCTGCGGGGCGCTCTTGGCGCCGGCCGGTCTGTGGGTCGGGGCCCGTGGACGGTGACCGTGGCGGCGTCACACGGAGCATCCCCCGCCCGCCTGCTCTCCCCTCCCCCTCGCCCTTCGCCAGCGGTCTCACCGCCGCGCGGGAAGGGCCGCCCCGCACGGGGGCCGAGCAGGCCCCAGCAGGCAGACGTCCGTCCACCCGCTCTGCTGGCTCGCACGCACCCGGGGCGCCCTCAGCCGCGTCGGCACTGACCTCGGCACGGGCAGCAGGGCTGGACGGGGGTTCCAGGCTGGCCCAGCGGGACAGCTGTCCCTGGCAGGCCCGTGTTGGCGTCACCGGGTCCCCGATCACAGTGACCCCCGAGCTGCCCCCGGCCCTGGCGCTCAGCCTGGAGGAGGCGCTGACCCGGCCCCCTGTCCGTCCGCAGTCCTACGCCACCTGTGCCCTGGGCATCCATTTCGTGGGCTACGTGATGATCTGCTTCGCGGCGGCCAACTCGCTGTGCTCTGCGCTGTACGGAAGGGTGTCCCAGCACACGGGCAGGATTCCGCTCTACGCCTTCGGTAGGTGGGCCCTTGGCGGCTTCCAGCAGGAGCACCCCCCGCGCGCCCGGTGCTGCCGGGCTGGCCCCACGGGTGTGTGGGGACCGCGGTCCCCGGGGACGGCGGGCAGGCGGGCTGCGTGCTGGGGCGGGGTCGGGGCAAGCGCAAGGTTTCCTGCTGGCGCGCAAGGGGACGCCCTGGTCCAGCCTCTGGCCGCGGGTAAGGCGGGGCGTCGGGGCGGCTCCTGCGGGGCAGGACCTGCCCTCGCCTGGTGCAGAAAGACGGATGTTCCAAAGCCGACTGACTTCATGCTGAACACACGTGGCCTCTCTCAGGAAGGGAAGGGAGAAGGACCAGGGATGCTGTGAGCGGTGAGAAGTCAGGGCACCAACAAAACAGTTACCCGGCCGCCCGGGCGAGGCCCGAGGGGCCTCGGCCAACAGGCCTGGCCGGGGGCAAGTGATCTGCATGTGCTTGTCTCACTCTTACGATCGCCCTGCGGCATGGACGCTGTCCACCTTGCCGACAGGCAAATCGAGGAACGGAGAAGGCAGCTGTCCCAAGGCCACACCGGCTCAGGGGACCCAGTGCGCACCCGCCCCTCCCGGGCGGACAGCGGTTTCGGGAGTGTCAAGAGCCGTCGTGTCACCGCATCCCGGAGACACAGGGTCGGTGGAAACCTGACCCGTTAGGACAAAGTCAGGGGCAGGGAGCCTGCGGGGTCCAGGCGGCCTCACCTCGCGCCCCCGCCCCGTTCGAAGACCAGCTTCCACGGGATGGGGGACACACCCCCTCGTCACCCTATGGAAGAAGTCCTTCTCCCTCACTGGGTCTGAACCCTCATGATTTGGGGGCTCCTCCGCCCAGGCACGGGGACGTCTCCCCCTGACCACGGCGCGCGAGGCCAGAGGCGGCAGAGGCCCGTCGAACTGCAGAGGGCACCCACGTCGGCCGGCACGCCCGCCCTCCGGACCCCTGCAGGGCTGCAGGGACACAGGCCCGGCAGGAGCACGGCCAGGCGGCCGGCCCTCACCGCCGCGGCTCTCCGCCCCCGCCCACAGGTGCGGCCACCCACCTGTCTTGCATCGTCGCCCTCCTGCTCTGGAGACCGAGCCCCGACCAGCTGCCTGTGTTCTTCGTGTTTTCTGGCCTATGGGGCGTGGCCGACGCCGTCTGGCAGACACAGAACAACGGTGAGTGCTCAGCGCAGAGGGTCGCCACCCCGGCCCCCTCCACTGGGCGGCTGTGGGGGCCGTGGGGCGGGCGAGGCCCCGCCGGCTCGGCCTGGGGAAATGCGGAGGTGGCCGGGCACAGCTGCGGTGCGGGGAGGTGGGGTTCGGGAGGCGCCCATCTGTTTGGAGCACCACACACTCGGTCACAACAGGCACGCACTCCTCACCGTCCTAGGTCGTCAGGGCCAAGGCGGCGGCTCGGGCAGATTCTGTGCCTGGTGAGAGCCTCCTTCCCTGTTCGCAGCCAGCCTCGCGCTGAGCCTTCCAGTAAAGGCGCTCGCCGGGCAGGCACTGTGTTCTGCGCAGGCCAGGGAGCACGGAGGTGCCACGTGCGGCGGCCCACTGTGGGGTCCAGCTCCAGGCACAGGCTGTGCTGTCGGGGTATCTCTGAGGTCCACGGGGGAGGTGAGAGGGGGCAGCTGCCCAGGGCCGGAGGGGCCACGCCGCAGGGGCGGGGTTGCCGGCTGCGGTCAGGGCGGTGGCCTGGGGCCCTCTGCAGCCTGAGAGGCCACGAGGCTGCAGGCTCGTCGCGGGCAAGCTCGTGGGACAGGAGGCCACGCGGGAGGACGGTGAGAGGGCCTGGCCCTGGGAGCCGGCGGCCCCAGGTCCACGGGGCACGTGGGAAGGAGCGGCCCAGGGACTGCAAGCCCCTCAGCCGAGCTGGGGGGCAGGAGAGAAGCCACAGCCGCCCACGCCGGGCAGGGCAGCAGGGATGGGTCATGGAGAAGCGAGTGGCCAGGCCAGGCGCAGAGGGACGGCCGAGGCCAGCGTGTCCCGTGCATCTCGGAGCCGGGAGGCTTGGGCAGCCCCCACGGGGGCGGGGTAGGGGCGGCGAGGCCTTCGGGGGAGGGGCCCTCCGCCATGAGACGGGCGCGCTGTAGCCGAGGGGCTTCGGCGGGGTGTGGCGGGAGACACGGGGGGACAGCGACCGAGGGGCTACGTTTGGGTGGCGGCTGAACATGACGGGGAGGAGGGTGGGCACCCCAGGCCTGACTGGCGCCCAGGCCCGCCTCCGGCCGGCCGGGGAAGGGTGTCGGGGCGGCCGGCGAGACGCCCTGGGGGAGCCTCTTCCCCCAGACGGCAGGTGCAGTCCCCGCGCAAGCCACGTGTCCGGGGCGGGGTCTTAGCGCCTGTGCTGTGCCGGCTCACCCACAGCGGCAGAGCCCTGCCCGAGCGGACCCCTCGCTGCAGGCTTCCAGGGTGTGGTTTCGCGCTCGTTTCTGCTGGCTCAGCGGGCGGGGCTTGCGTGACGTCCTGAACAGGGGACGTGCGTGCTCGGCCTGGTGCTGGCACCCGGTGTGTCGGGATCAAGGCCAGTGCCTGGGAGGAAGGGCGGAAACGCGCACAGGCCAGGCCTGCGATGTTATTGCCCAACAGCAGAAAGGCGGCTTGGGGAGAGAGGAGCAGAAGCCCCCTCGGGCTTCCCTTGGCATCGAGTCATGCACGGGGGTGGGGGGCAGGCCGCGCCCCCTGCAGAGTCCCACGCACCTCGTCCGATGAGCATCAAGGGAGAGCGCGTCGGCATTCCCGAGGGGTGTGGCCGACACCCAAGCCACGCACAGATACGCTCTTGCATCCTTAAATGTTAGCGGGCATGTCTAACTTAAAGGAACTTGATTTTAAAAGTGTTTACACATCACACATTAAGGAAGACACGATAATCTATACAATTCTATACAACTCGGCAGGCGTTTCAAGTGATTGCAGTCAAGACAACAGGTTTCTTCTTCCCTGAGACTGAGGAATAATTAATTGCCTTAACCCTCCCTGTGGTGTCCCGAACGTCAGTGGCTTTGTCAAGACCCTGCTAAGTGACATGCGGTCCAAGGAACGACAGGAGGGCATGCTCATTGGAAGTGAATTATTTCGGTCTTTTTGTGTCGATAAAAAGCCGCTTGTCCCAAGGAACGGCCGGTTGTCGGGGAAGCTGCTGCTCTTCCCGCGTTTGAGAGCCGCGTGCGGGGGCCGCGGGCCAACAGGAGGGGCGTGCGAGCGGCCGGCGCCCTGGGCCCCGGAACCTGCGGCCCCGTGGGCGCGTCCGCATGGCCTCTGCTTTTCAAACCCTGGACGTGTGTGTGGCTTTTGCTGCCTCCCAAGAACTGCTCTCTCATTTTTTGTTTAATAGTAATTGGATTTTGAATGTGATCCCGATATGTTTTTCCTGTAAGAAAACCCGCGAGCCACGCGCCCTCCTGTGCTGTGGGCCGATGGCTCGCCAGCACAGCTCCCCCGTCCGGGCCTCCCTGTCGCCCCGTTTCTCTGTCACCCTCCCCCAGGTGCCCACTCAGGCCCCAGCGTCCCGGCTCAGAGCCTCGTGGGGGCCGCGTGGGATTTCCTCCCAGGCTCCAGGCCTCCTCCAGCCATTGGAGCCTTCGGTCTGGGCCAGTGGCTCCCCTCTGTTTATTCACAGTGACGGTTCCTGAAAGACAGGGGCCGTGGGCATGGCAACCCTCACACGCCGATGCTCCGCCCTCACGATCTGGTCTAAAAATACCCTTGTGCCCAGCGAGCTGCCAAAGGGGCCGCGTCCCGGCTGGCAGGCTCGGGAACCTGGCTTCTCTCGCCTGCCCGGTTCCCCTTCCCCAACCGCACGAGACTGCCTGACCGCCGGTCCCCGTGCCCCGTGCGAGGACAGGGGCCGGCAGGGGGTCACTTCCGCCCGCAGCCTTCCCTGGAAGGGGGAGGCAGACAGGTCGGCCTGGGAGCAAGGCTTTAAAAAAATGGAGAACCATTTCATGCCGGGATAATTTTAGGTTTACAGAGAAGCCGCAAAGCCGGCGCAGAGAGCTCCCGGGTCGCGCCCGCCCACTGAGTCTCCTCGGTCCGTCGCGCAAAACCCCGTGCGTTTGTCAGCGCTACAAAGCAGACGTGGTTCACGACCTGCCGGGACGTCGGGCCCCATCCGGGTGCCTCCCGCTTCCCCACGATGTCCCTTTGTCCCTGGGGTCCCACCCAGGGCCCCGTGGCGTTGGGTCCTCGCGCCTCCTTTGTCTGGCCTGCGGCAGCCTCTCCTTTTCCGTGTTTCTCATGAACTTGACGCTTTTGAAGAGCCCGGTCAGCGCGCAGGTCTTCCCCCCTCCAGGTTGTCTGAGGTTTTCCCGTGCTGGGCTGCGTGGCGGGTTTGGGGGAGGAAGACCCAGACCGAGTGCCTTTCTCGTCACGCCCGTTGGGAGGACACAGGCTCTGGCCCGCTGGGGCCGTGGCCTCTTGCGGAAGCGACCGTCCACCTACTCGTCCACGTAGGCACTTAGCCAGAATTCTCACTGACACTTCAGGGGCCTGGGGTTTACCGCTGTGGACAGGGGGGCGCCTGACCCGGGGCGTGACGGGCCGCGGGGCAGGCGTGTGGTGTGGAAGGCGTGGGGGCGCCTCGGACGTCGGGGGGCGGCCTCAGGGAGACGGAAAATCACAGGCAGGCCGGCGGGCACGGCGGGGGTCTGGCGGGGACACTGCGCATGGGGCGTCACGAGCCCCCCGTTCCTTGGGCGTGTGATGGTTCTTCCCTGCTGGGCAGCATCGTCATTCTCTGCCCTAGAATTCTCTGTTATTTTGAAAAGAAAGGCTCTGATTCTGCTGAGGCGCTGGGAGAGCAGCCCCCGTCTCAGCCGCGGGTGAGAGTCGGGGCTGGGGGTCCCCCGCGCTCACGGGTCTCTCCTCTGCAGTCCTCTTCGGTGTCCTCTTCGACAAGAACAAGGAGGCCGCCTTTGCCAACTACCGCCTGTGGGAGGCGCTGGGCTTCGTCATCGCCTTCGGGTGCAGCTCCTTCCTGTGCGTCAGCGTCAAGCTCTACGTCCTCCTGGGCGTCCTGTGTCTGAGCATGCTGGCCTACGGCACCGTGGAGTACCTGGAGCGCAAGAGCCCGGCCGCGCCCCTTGCTGCGGAAGCCACAGAAGTGGCCGCGGGCGGAGAGATACAGACGAAAATGTGAAGGCGGCCCCTCCCCGCCGAGGGCAGGCAGGCGTCGGTGGCGTCCGAGGGCGCCTCTGGGCTCTGGCTGATGCTTCACGGCTGCCTTCGCACGAGGAGGCTGGTGGAGAGGCATGCTGTAGTTTTATTTTTTTTATGTCTTTTTTCTATTCTATCAAATTTCCAGTCCACCTTCTCATCAGCAGAGGTGAAGAGAATACATGAAAAACAATCCGTTGTTTTCAGGTACAAAAAGAAAAAAGTTTAGGTTTCGATCAGCCCCACGGGACTCGCTTAGAGTCAGAGAACAAACAACCTAGACTCGTGTCGGTGGTTGTTATTGTTGTCCCGGAGGCCAGGACGCCTGCTTGAAGTGACACGGGACAACACCATGGTTTCACAAGCTGAGCCCGGGCATGTCGGCAGACCCCCCCGTCCCAGGTCCGTGTAGAGTCCACGGGTTTGAAACTAAGACAGTACCAGTTTCTAAATAAACACCATTCTATCGCATACTTGCCGCTTGTCCAAATGCTTTGATCCTGAACGCTCGCCCAGATGACACGGGCACGGGCCGTCGCGTAGGCGATTTCGAGGCCGTCGGGCACTGCAGGCGGGGCCCCCGGGGCCTTGGGTGTGGCCGTCCGAGCTGTTCGCCCACCTCGCTGCTCATCCCTGGCCTCTTCCCTTCCTGTCGTCCTGAGGCTCAGGGAAACTGGTCACACGGTCCTCTGGCTCCTTGTCTGAGGGCATCTTTCTCTCCGCGTCGCTCTGCGCCCCTGACCGACTGCTGTTCCCTGGGGGTCTCTCTGCTCCCCCTCAGCCCCGGACGCCGCCTCCTTCCCCACCCCCCGCGCCCTCACCCATGCCCTTCTCCACGCCACCTCTCCCCTGCCTGGGGTTCAGCCCGGCCTCCCCCCAGCGGCGGCCCTCCCGGCTCCAGGCCCCAAGCAGAGCCTGTCGGCCCCTCGCGTCTACCGCCCTGGGAGCTCCTGTTCGCGGGAGGCACCAACGTCTGTTGTCCAGCGCGGGTGCCCAGGGGCTGCCAGGGCCGCCCAAGGGCCCTCCATCCTCCAGGCCTTGCTCCCACGCTTCCTCGACCTTGGATAGCCCCTGCCTGCCAACACCAGGGCTTCAAGCTTTGGGGTGGTCCTTGTAACCTATGCAACAAACACTTTCTTATACTTATTTTTGCAGGAATAGCTCCCCCTACCGGGCCTGAAGCTTCCCACTGTCTGGTATGTAATACCAGTAGGCACTTAATGGGTGTGCGTGGCATAAAGAAAAGGTATCAGTAATTTAAATAATCACTACCTCATTGTTGGCCTCTCCAGGAAGGCCCAGCGGACCCAGCCCCTTCATCCGCCCCCTCACTCATTCACGCCCTCACGCATCCGCTCCTCCCCCAGTGACTGAGCCCGGTCCTCAGGGAGGGGGCAGTGAGCAAACACAGGCTCGGCTCCTCGTCCCGGTCCGTTCCCAGGCGAGCGAGGAGACAGGTGTGGATCACACGAATGTAAAACTCCTCCTGTTGCGAGGCGACGCGCCCACGGCCCGTCGGGAGTCGCTTGCCGCCTGCTAGGACCTGCCCGCAGCCCCCAGCCACTGTGAGGGGCAGCCCCTGCTCCGGCCGCCCAGGCACAGCCGTGCGGCCCCACTCTCTCCCCTGCCCGCTGGGGGCTCGCCCACCAGTCTCCTGGGTCCGCACATGGAGCCACTTCCCCGCCGGCCCCTCGCCTGCCCCTGACTCCCCGTCCTCCCCCCAGGCACCGGCTTCCCCTCCGCACAGGGCTGACCGCGCCTGCACCGTCCTGCCGCTCAGGGTCCCCAACCGTCTAAAGACCAGGGTCTGCGGTCCTGGCCACGGCTTTACAGGCTCTCAAGGGTGGCTCCAGCGGCCCCTTGGCCTCGGTCCCTCCCAGCCAGACCGCCCTGCCCACTGCTCCGCTTGCGCCGGGCGCTCCCCCTGCCGGGCCGCCCACTGCTGCTGAGGACGCCGGCTGCCGCGGGGAGTGTGCCGTGTGCCGGAGGCCCCGCAGGAAGAGCCCCCAGAGCAGCGGGGAGCAAGGAAGTGTGTGCACAGCCTTGGAGAGACCTCCCGCGGGACATGTCCCGGTCAGAGTGTCCCCGCATCAGAGCCCAGGGACAACCAGGCAGCCCTAGGGCTGTTTCAGGTTCTCCGGTGCTGCAGACGCCCGGCGGGGGGCGGCGTCCGAGCGGGCTGCGCAGGTGGATGGGCCCGCCTGGCCCGCACTGTCCCCGGGGCGCTCAGGGCCCCGAGCCGGCGGCGGCCGCTGGGCATTCGGCCCACAGGACTCTCCTGGGACTCCGGGCGCGTGGGCACAGAGGCCCAGCTCAGACGCAGGCCCGGCAACCAGCCCGCTCCCCGTGAGGAGCAGCCGGGCCCACTTCATGGGGGAGGGGATGTGCACAGAGCTGCTCCTCCGAGCGCCCACGACGCAGAGGCCTCACCAGGCTCGAGGCCCGTGTGGGCCGAGGGCGGCCAGCATCCCGGGCGGGCGGCGGGCCACCCTCTCACTCTGCTGCCAGTGACGCACACGGGAAGCCGTGCCAGAGGCCACCGCGCCAGGGGCCCGGGCCTCCTCGAGGGACCGGCGGGGCGAGCCAAGCACGGCAGGACGGGCACGGGCCGTCTGGTCGTCGGCAGAGCAGGTGGCTGGCCCGCGGACGGCCCGGCCGAGCGGCACCGCCCCAGCTGCTGGAGGGCTGGGCGCCATCTGGGCCTGTCCTCCCGCTTCATCCTTTAAAAGTTCAGACAGGGGCGGGGGGGGCTTGTGGACGGGCCCGAGGGCCAGGGTCAGGACCCCGACAGGCGTGCGGGCGAGGGGTGCGTCCCGCTTCCTCACGTGTGGTGGATGAAGGTCAGCTGTTTGTCCGGTTCTCAGCGTGTTTGTGAGATGAGACTCCCTGCTCCTGAGGGCTTATCAGGCAGCGGGCCCTTGCGGGACACTCTCCGGGCGATACGGCGGGGACACCAGGACCGTCCCCGGAGCCCGGGGCTGCCCGCTGTGACCTGCGCGCCTCCGAACGCCCCTGCGCCCTCGTCGGCCTCGGCTGGGTTTGGCCCAGCGACCGGACTCTCCTGGCCCCGCTCCCAGGCTCAGCGACCAATAACGCACTTTTACCATTTGCTCAGATAAGTAGCGAGGGCAAGTCTGGGAAGTGTGATGTATGACCGCATGGCACAGTGCGTGGTAGAAAACTTCCTAAAATTAAAGGTTTATCTAAAGGGAAACTGTTACATAAAGAATATGGTTAAAAACGTAAAGAGAAAGCAAATGTGTCCACAACCGAGGCTTAGGGCCGGCATGCACTCACTATAACTTACTAACATGAGTAAAATGAGCAATAAAAAACACAGATTCCGTGACATTCGGTAAGAGGAGGCTTCCGAGTGGTTTAAGAGAGACGCCTCTTCTAAGTTCAGAAATGTGAAGGGAATTTCACGTGGATCCCAGTCACTTCCTGCTTCCTCTTCATTAAACCACGGCCACCAGCTCCGCGGGCCCAGGCTCCCTGGTTTCCTCTCTCACGTTTCTGTGCGAAGCCGTGAAACGCTGACCTAGTTGCGCGGTGTGTGTCCTTGGCTTCCCTGCAGCCAGACCGCGAGCCTGTCCACGTGGGCTGCGGTGACGTGAGCTTCGGCATGTGGGCCAGACTGTCACACGCATTCACTGTTCTGGGTCATTATGTTTATTTTCTTGTCCCCTGGCCTCCAGACACCTGCCGAGTGTCCCGGGCAACCTGCCCATGGGGAGGAGCGTCGGGTACGGTCGTGCCTCACCCACGCTGACGGCGGACAGCCCGCCCCCGGGGCCGCGGCCTCTCCCCGCATCGCGCCCCCGCGCCCCGTGCCCCTGGCCGCCTGCCAGCCTGTGCGTCACCTCGTCCCGTCCTCGTGGCCCTGACGTCGGGGTTGTCTTTCCTGACGTCTGAGGGGCGCCCCCGCCCCGGCACACTCCGGGCCCAGCCCGGGGCCCTGCTGCGCTCGGTCTGGGTGCAGCCTCAGCCTCAGCTTCCCCAAAGCCCCGGGGTGCGAACGGGTGTGTCCGGCGGCGCGGCAGTGGTTTAAGGCCTGTGACTGCCCTGCTCTCACCGCGGTGGGCTCCCTGCGTAATTGGCTCCTGGCACCTGGCGTCCGAGATTAAAAGCTGGAAATCTCAAAGAGATTCCGGGGTTACACGTCACTCAGGACGGTTGCTGCTGTCGCTGCACTTCAGGACACGTGACGTGGGAGCGTTCCTCCGCCCCCGAGACACCACGAGACACATAGAGATCACGTCGGTTCCACCAACATCCAGACAAACCGCCCAGCGACCCCCCTGAGGGGAGCCCCCCTGAACTGCTCGGCCGGCGGCTGCTGGGCCACGGCCACGGCCGCAGGGACGGGTCCACGGGGCCCGCCCCCGCCTCCGCCGCTCCCGCCTCCCGAACTGCAAGCCGTTCCCCTCCCCCAGCCCCCCAGCCCCATCCCCCGGCCACCCCTCGGTGACCCCCTCCCCGGACTGCGCTCCTCCGACACATGCCGATGCGCCGTCGTCCCAACACCCACCCGATGACGGGGTGTCCTCACGCTCTGGGCCCCCTTTCTCACTCCTCTGCCTGTTGACAACGCCTCCTCCCTTCAGCGGCACCCTCCATAAAGAACCACCGCTAACATCACGTCAGCTGCCTGTGACCCGGTGCCACAAGGCACAGAGCAGGCAGCCCAGCTACGGACCCCGAGAAAGGCGGGCGGGTGGGTGGTGGTTGGTTGGAGGTTGTCGGTTGGTGGGCGGGTCGGTGGTTGTCGGTTGCTGGTTGTCGGCTGGCAGGCCGGCTGGCTGAGCCTCGTGAAGCCCAAACAGGGCGCGGAAGCAGCCGGCCGCCCGGAAGCACAAGCGGACGAAGCCAAAGACGCCCGAGCCTGTTCTCCAACCTCTGAGTCCCAATGATATTCACTAAGGTCATGTAAAACACATAAAATAGCTGTAACACAAAAGCATGTGATAGGACAGGTTTATTGCGTTCCTTGTAAAAGCAGAAAATG